GTGGGATCTGGGCTCCTGGGATGAGGTTGAAAGTCCAATGTGGAGGTAAAGTTGTGGTTTCCCTCAAAACAATGGGAAAATCCATATACTATTTTGGCATTGAAAGAGGTGCAGACAGAAGTGTTGAGATGGGGGGGGATGAAAAAGAATCCTACATTTGTTGATGTTGACATTGTGAAGGAAGAGTAATCCTTTGCTCTCGGTAAATATCAGGATTGCCAGTTTGAAGTCAGGCTATAGGCTTTTCCAGTGGTAAAATGGACTGTAACACAATAGCCTTATCTATAAAATTGGCAATTATCCTAGAGTCCAAAAGAGTTGTATTTCTAAACCATGAATTTGCAAAGGCTATCGGGTTATAAAGTACAATTGCATAATGTCACATATTGGACCTAGTGTACTGTAGTAAAAATACAATCCAAGGTTTCACTTTCATTGTTTCTCTTTTGCAGTGAGGGACCTCATCATTTCTCCTGTTTGCACAGGCTCCACATATTTGGAGTCTTAGCAGGCAACAGGGAAAAAGAAAACTAACTGCCCATGTGGCTGATCCCTCTTTCAGTAGGCTAAGAATAAAGGCAACCCTAGTTCAATCTGTAGGAAATCCACTGGCATGCCCATGATGAACAGTTTACACTGTGTTGTGAAAGTCAGGAATTCACCTTGACCCATTCTGAACCTCTCAGGTAGACTTTCAGGAGAATGGAGCAACATTGGTCAGGCAGCAGCTTTGAGGCCTATTCCCAGATGAAGTAAGCTATATCCCAAATGCTATGCTAGCTGTATCATTGTGTTGGAAGAAAAATCAGTTCCAGTTCCAATCTGGGAGAAAAGGTGCTGGAAATAAAAATGGAAGCTAGCTGCTTAGGAAAGAAGGTCTGTTTATTGATGAGCAGAACTAACAACAGCATGCAGTTCTGGGACAGCTGACAAAATGGAGTTGAGAGTAGATGGATTTTTATACATTTTTTTTGTGTCTTTGTGTTTGAGATGCCTATTTGTTGTGAAATGTACTTTGATTTGTGCTTGACTGTGCTCTCTTAGTATTCTAATTATTGTGGCTAGGAGGTCATGCCCTGTCCTTGGAGCTGGGTGGGAAATGTAGATTTTAGAAGTCTTTGTTTTCTAATCCCATCAGCTCCAGTTTTCTGTGGGAGCCGTGGCTGAAGGTGTTTTGCTTATGAATAGAGTGATCCAGTCTTTCTGAATGGATTACAAAATCTCCATTTCTAACGATTAGCCTCTTTGGGTTTCTGCTTGAGGCAGGAAGACTGGGGCTCTTTTTGCATTGCCGGCAATGAGGTGGGTACGGCTTCAGTATGATGAAACTGGCCCACTGGCCGGCAGTTTGACACCCCTGATTTAGTCATTTGCTGCCAAGAAACAAGAGAAAGCCAAGAGATTGAAAGAATCTCAATAATGAAATTGATAAGAAAGAACTGGGTATCAGCTTTTACTCTCTTGGCATCCAGACAGAAGAAGAGTAAGATGGAAGTTACTTCTTTAGCCAGAAACAGAAGACAGGATCTTCTTCAGTATCTGAGGCTGGCTGGAGCCAATGAGATCAGTGCCTCAATGGAAACTCAAAATGTACAGCAGACTTCAAACAAGGAAATCTGAGACTGCAGGACAGCAGTTGGAAAATGAAAAGACCAGACATTGTCAAAGCATTCAGATTTCAGTGCAGGAAGGCATCAACCACAGAAGTCTGGATTCCAGTCAAGATACTTAAAGGAATTAAATTAACTCTCAAGCTACCAGCCAATACTCTGAATTGGTATTGCAAACTGGTACAGTATATGGATGCCAACAGAGCAAAATACAAGACAGATTGTTAGTCCTGTATGGGAGTGAGCCAATTAACTAGGCAAGCAAAACACAGTCAGTTGTTGTCCTATTGTCTAACAAAGCAAACTTTAGGATATAAGAGCCAAAGCCAATAATGTCTTTCAAAGACAAGTAAGGATGTATATCTTTAATAATTTTCAGTTTTTTTCTTTCTTTTACCATGTCAGAGAAAGTTTTTGTGTCTTATCATGACATTTACTTTTTTCTGTCAGAAAAGTAACAGTGTGCCGTGCCTGCAGATTGAATTAAAGTTCTCTCCCGCCCAAAAGCTGATTCTAAGTCAAATTTGGAACTAAGGCACACCATTTCTGCAAAATGCAGTTTGTATAATTACCACTAGATGGTAATGTTTGATTTTATTCTAAACTTTTGAGGCTTGTCTTCTGCCTAGTGTTGTAGGATGAAAAATTAAAAATCTACTCCATCTTTGGCAATATATTCACGTTACATATTTGTTATTTGGTTTATTTTATCCCAATGTGATTGCAACTTCTGATACTTTACAGAAGTTAGAGGTTTTAGAGAATTATGTGGGGTTCCTAAGTCAGCAATCTTTTCTTAGAGGAACCCGAATAAATTAATAATAATAATAAATGTTGGAAGGGACCTTGGAGGTCATTGAGTCCAACCCCTTGCTCAGGCAGGAAACCCTACACCATTTCAGACAAATGGCTGTCCAGTCTCTTCTTAAAAACTTCCAGTGTTGGAGCATTCACCGCTTCTGGAGGCAGGTTGTTCCATTGGTTAATTGTTCTAACTGTCAGGAAGTTTCTCCTTAGTTCTAGATTGCTTCTCTCCTTGATTAGTTTCTATCCGTTGCTTCTTGTCCTGCCTTCAGGCGCTTTGGAGAATAGCTTGACTCCCTCTTCTTTGTGGCAGCCCTTGAGATATTGGAACACTGCTATCATGTCCCCCCTTGTCCTTCTCTTCGTTAAACTAGACATACTCAATTCCAGCAACCGTTCCTTATATGTTTTAGCCTCCAGTCCCCTGATGATCTTTGTTGTTCTTCTCTGCACTCTTTCTAGAGTCTCAGCATCTTTTTTACATCGTGGTGACCAAAACTGGATGCAGTATTCCAAGTGTGGCCTTACCAAGGCATTGTAAAGTGGTATTAATGCTTCAAGTGATCTTGATTCTATCCCTCTGTTAATGCAGCCCAGCACTGTGTTGGCTTTTTTGGCCGCTGCAGCACACTGCTGGCTCATATTTAAGTGATTGTCCACTAGGACTCCAAGATCCCTCTCACAGTTACTACTATTGAGCAAGGTACCCCCTATACTATACCTGTACATTTGGTTTTTCTTTCCTAAATGTAGAACCTTACTTTTTTCACCATTGAATTTCATTTTGTTAGATAGCGCCCAGTGTTCAAGTCTGTCCAGGTCCTCCTGTATCTTAAGCCTGTCTTCTGAAGTGTTGGCTATTCCTGCCAGCTTGGTGTCATCCGCAAATTTGATGAGTTCCCCATCTATCCCCTTGTCCAAATCGTTGATGAAGATGTTGAAGAGCACTGGGCCTAGAACAGAGCTGTGGGGCACCCCACTACACACTTCCCTCCATGTAGATGTGGTTCCATTGAGGACCACACGCTGAGTACGGCCGGTCAGCCAGCTACGAATCCATCTGGTGGTGATGCTGTCTAACCCACATTTTTCTATCTTATTGAGTAGTAGGTTGTGATCTACTTTATCAAATGCCTTACTGAAGTCCAAGTAAATTATATCCACAGCATTCCCCTGATCCACTAATTTTGTCACTTGGTCAAAGAATGCAATAAGTTTTGTCTGGCATGATCTGTTTTTGACAAACCCATGTTGGCTTTTAGTAGTGATTTTGTTTGCCTCTAGGTGTTCGCTGATTCGTTGTTTGATTATCTTTTCCAGAATCTTCCCAGGTAGTGATATTACTCCTGTAACCTAGAATAACAAGTTTGAATGACCTGTCTTGGTAAACCAATGGTGGGCTATATTAAACAACATGAAATTCATTTCTTATGGTGTTAAAATGAGATAAGCACAACAGCTTACTATGTCCTAAAGAACATTCACTAAGTGCTGTGTATAATTACATTATTATTGGACACAGAAAACAGAAATTTGAACAGTAATCAATATGATTAGATCTTAACCTGTGGCATTAAATTTGGAGCTATAATGCTTCCTTTTCAGCAGAATGACTGTGTGGTAATCCACAGATACCGGTAGTTTGGGAATCACTTTGAGAAGGAAGAGAGAGGAATAGAACAAAGTATTACATTGAATCCTTGGACAGGAATGTTGTTATACTATTAATTTTTATTTCAGGTTCCATTTTATATCATGCATCTTTTTCTATTAGGCATTCTCTTGCTGTATGGCAATGAACCAACCATATTAATCTGTAGAGACAAAATTTAAAAACATAATATTTTGAATCTTTGCCCTTGTTTTAAATTCCTGGATGTATAAAGCATATATGTAACAGTGGTTGGTGTTTTTTTTTCTTTTTGCTATCTGTACTTTTATTTTCTTTTGAAATTATCTCTGAATAACTTCTTAAAATCTAAAAATGTTCCTGCTTAATTTACTTACTTTTTGGGAGGAGCGGGAGATAGATTAGTGTAATATATATTTTAATTTATATTTTATCAGCCTCATAATTAGGGAATTTCTCCCTACAGTAAAATACATAATAATGCATTCATAATGTTTGTTTTTAACTTTGTTTTTAATCTTGTTTGTTCTTAACTTTAATTACTTTTTTGCAATGTATTAACATAAATGGCAATGCTTGCAATAATTGCTAGATTTGGTCTACAGAACTTTTAATCAAGAAATAATTGGTACTTAATAAATACAGAGATAGAATGGATTTATATTTAATAATTCTTTTATTTTACATTTTAATTATGTTATTATATACTGTTGAATGACATTTTCTAAATATCAGTCTATACTTTTGCAAAAATAAATGCAAACATAACTGACTTCCCCACTCAAAACTTAGAAAGTTCATGGCAACAGCAACTTGAATAATGTCATATTTAGAAATAAAAGAACACACTTCGTGTTATCTAACAAGAAAAAAACTGTAACAAAACCCTTCAATTCTTGTAGGCCAAATTAAACAAAAATAGCCACATACTGGCATGGTAGTGGGAACATTGACAGTTATGATTCATTGCTCTCAACAGATGTTTCGGAAGCTGTGACAATTGAAGTTTTTGATTCTACTTTGTTTCTGTTTTTATTCCTTTTAAAAAAATTTACTATCTGGATTTCATAGATATGCAGAAGAAAAGCCGTAAAGAGAATCCCTCCTATTGACACAGCTACAATTGTGCTGATGAGATATTGTCCTGGGAAAGCCAGCGGGGAATCATCGACATATATCTGCAATAAAAAAATATATCCTGGTAAATTGAAATAATCACATTACTTTAAAAGTTGGGACTTGAGATAGATAACTCAAGTTTACATTAGCAAATGTACTTTTGAAGGCAAGGTTAGCATTGCAGGATTAAAATGCAGATTTGAAAATTTATTGCAATAAAGAAGTGGAAAGAGTTTTTTCAGCTGAATTTTCATTTTAGGAGTATTCAGACTTTCAAATGCAGTACAGGTAGTCCTTGACTTATGACTACTTAGTGACAGTTTGAAGTTCTGACAGGCCTATCTGGCGGGGGGTACTTATGACTTCAATTTGAAGAACCAATAACTGTACCCTCTGTGGTCACATGACCACACTTTAGATGCTTGGCAGTTCGGCTGCATCTCTAGCCATTTGCGATGTTCTGTGGTCACATAACACATTTTTTGATGGTTTTAGTGAAAAACCAGTATTTACATCCATTTTTGGGCAAAACTGCACCTATAGTGAAAAAATGGTTTTCTTTTAATGATCGCAGATTCACTTAATGACTGTGGTAATTCTATTAGCAATTGTCACCTAAAAGGTCATAAAATTGGTCACGTAACCAATAATTTTATACCCATAAGTTACAATAGTGATGGGCAGGTTCCAGTACAATTGTAACCTGAGGTTATATGTATATTATAAGAAATGAATGAATGAACGAATATCAATACATCAGTCAATTAATCCCTGCCAAATTCTTGTAATGTTATATTTGAATTCCTTAATGGTATATTTACTTAACTTGCTTAATTTCTAGAAAGAGACAAGTAGGGGCTCAGACTTGTGGTACATCCATTGTAGTCCTCAACAGAACTACATCTACATGGAGGGAAGTATGAAGTAGGGTACCCCAAGGTCTGTCTTAAGTCCAGTGCTCTTCAACATCTTCATAAACAATTTAGATGAAGGAATAGAAGGGGTACTCATCAAATTTGCAGATGATACCAAGCAAGGAGGAATAGCCAAGATAGGCTCAAGATCAAGATGGATTTTGACAGACCTGAACACTGGACCCTATCCAACAAAATGGAATTCAGTGGTCAGAAAAGTAAGGTTTTATGCTGGATAAGAAAAACCAAATGATAGCTGTTGAATAGATAGTACCTGGCTCAACAGTAGTAACTCTGAGAGGGAATTTGGAGTCCTAGTGGACAGTCACTTAAATATGAGCCAGCAGTGTGCTGCAGCTGCCAAAAAAGCCACTGCAGTCCTAGTCTATATCAACAGAAGGGATGGCATCAAGATTACATAAACTATTTGTACTGCTATATATTGCCTTGGTAAGATCATACTTGGAACAGTGCATCCAGTTCTGGTCATTGCAATACAATAAAAAGGATATTGAAGCTCTAGAAAGAGCACAGAGAACAACAAAAATGATTAGGGGGCTGGAAGCTGAAACATATCATGTCTAGTCTAACAAAGAGGAGACTAAGGGTGACATGATCGCAGTCTTCCAATATTTGAGAGGTTATCACAAAGAAGAAGGGGTCAACCTATTCTCCAAAGTACTTGAAAGCAAGACAAGAAGTAACAGATGGAAACTTATCAAAGAGAGAACCAACTTAGAATTAAGGCAAAATTTCCTGACAGTGAGTACAATTAATCAGTGGAACAACTTGCCTCCAGAGGTTTATT